AACAGATGCTCGTTAATAAGTTGACATGGCATTGCCGCTTATTACAGTAGAAAATTTAGTGTTAAACGAACTAAATTAAATATCAGAGGGCGGGCCCGTCATGTGGGACGCGGTTTGCCGCGCTTGTGTACGAAATCCTAAACAAAACTAATAGAACATGTGGGACAACGTTGTCAAGCTTCCGAAAAATACTTAATTGTGTTATTTATGACCAAATTGTTGTTACGGGGTGTTGTTGAGAAGTTTCTTGAAATACATTTATTTACTGTGTTGTTTTCTATAGATTTTAGCAAAGGACTTTTTGTAGAATTTTAAATAGTTTTGTATATACTTGTTTTCGCATGACCCGTTTTACCCTTTAATATAGAACAAAATTCCGATGGAATATTTGAGTGCATCAGATATATTTACTATACAGGGGGGTCCTTAGGTAATTGTACAAAAGAAACAGTAGATTCTACACTGTAAAATATTACGATATAAGCCAAATTGCTTTAATAAAATGATGATATTAAGAAAGATGCAGGGTGTTAAAGTGGAAATTTAAAATGTTATTTTTCGTTATAACTTTCATGTTTGTTAACATTTATGTACAAAAATTTACAACTGGGTATTTTTGAATATGGGGAATTATAATTTGATGCAGCGGCGGCCGGCCAGGTGAAGTAGGTGAAGGTGAGGTTCACCAAAAAAATTTAAATTAAATTGAGACAAACAAATAAAAAATGAAAGCAACACTATTATATCTAAATTCTGAAATCAATTATTTATTCTCTTTTAATTAATCTAAAGATTAAAAAAGACAACTAGCTTTATTAGCGGTAGGTACTTGAGGGTCAAGTCCTGACCTGTGTCACTAGCCGTGTACGATTCAGGAATAGGTGAATATCATTTTTAAAATGGGAAATCCATCTGCATAAACGTTCACGGTTGCCATGGCAACGTGACGTTAGCCTATCCTTACTGATAGCTGAAAAAACTGGCGAGTGCAATTCCGTCTAAAAATATATTATCCGTCTTCACCCACTGTTGAATGTGTATTTGGTATTCCTATGTTCCGGCAATTTCTGTCAGCGACAATATTTTGAAATTTAGTCTATTATATAGATATTTTTTATATAGTATAGTGTATAGTATAGTATTTATTAGTTTAGTTTAGTCACAGTATTAGTTTTATTTGTTTAATGCACTTTATTAATATATTTCTCTGTGGTTTGTTTTGGATAAATGTTCTCGTGGATTTCGTTTGGACAAAAATAATTTTAGACAGACATGAATCCAATTAATGACTTGGTGTGTAATATATTAGAGACTCTGATTAGGCATTGGAAAAATAAAGATAAAAGGGATGTTCTTTTATATGGTCGACCAACCAGTATTTTAAACATATACGACTGATCCAGAGTGGTCGGCTGCAATCAGCATGTGACCCAAAATGGGCGGCTGAATCGAAACTCACCAACCTGTTTTAGAAGGCCTGGTGTTTTAATCGCCAAAAAAACCCTCAATGAAATGTCAAGGTTCAAAACTAAAATACCCTAGGCAAGCAGAACGAATCGTATCTAGTATAAGTGCCCTAAAAAACTGATTTTCAGTTATTAGAGCCCTAAACTCTATACATTTTTTTAACGAATTTTTAATGAGATTTAGGCGCCAAAACTTCTTTTGGTTCCGGCAAGCTTTCCTCATCTTCACCACTTTTTTAGGCCACGAGCCGCCGCTGCTTTGATGTAGCTGATAGAAGGCGCCACATATGTGGCATAAATTTGCACTTAACTTTTTTGCTCTGCAAGTTACCGTTATCTGTAACAAAATATAAAAAGATACATTATTTTAACAAAAAAAAAGTATACCTGTTAATAATTTCAAAACTCAACAGTTTTCGACATAATCGCATTTTACAAATTAGCTGCATAATTCTGATTTAACGCAATTAATCCAGGCAATGGAGGAAAAATAGACAGAAACATCACTACTTCTGAATTTTGGTATGAAATAACTTTAACTAAAGCTAATAGTTAACGAAATATTAAATAAAATAAATAGATCAGCAGGATAATTATTATTAATGGGATTTGACAAAATAACAAAATAATAGGATTTTACATCAAACATTCTACGTTTGTTTAACCTTGTATTAGAGGATGCCATGAGGTCGGCCAAAATAAAAACAGAATTGCTATCGGTTCAAGGTCCCGAGCTGTTACTCGCATATGCAGATGACATAGACTTTGTTGGAGATTCCATCCTATCCACGAAAGACATCTTCAACAAGGTGGAAGGAGCGACAAGTGAAGATATGGCTCACGTGGACCATGATCAAAGCAAACGAAGAAAAGCTCAGACGCTTTGAACGAAAAATACTTAAAAAAAATTTTCGAACAATGTACATTTCGTTTGACCCTACGTTTATGGAAGACCGGACAAATTGGAAAAAAGTTGTACAGTCAGCCAAGGTCCACCCAGAGTTGTAGCGCTACGTTATGATAATGTTTTCACGTTTTATATTAAATTAAAGTCATATCAATTTATTTATAAACCAAATTAAAAAATAGTTAAACTAAATAACTTTAAACTTTTTGTCAAAATAAGTATTCGATATGTCCACCATTTTCTTTAATTAATTAGTCAATACATTCCATTAAAGATCGTTTCATATCAAATAGAATCATTGATTCTAAAGAAACTGCTGCAGTATTTATTATAAGTATTATAAGTACAATGATAAGTATTATTTTAGGATATTTTATGAATTAAATAATTAATATATTAATATCTCACCACATGACCAATCCAAGGTTCAGTAAAGTTGTATTTAAGTATGTTTTTACTGCTCTCTCTCTATAATATGGTGGTTTACCATTTTGCATAAACCACATATTTTGCCTTAAATTTGATGACAATTCTTCCAACAAATCAATAAATCCGTAAAAAATATTACCAATGGTTTCAAATCATACGTTTATTTGAAATTCATGTTGAAAATGCCTTTCGTTCTTAATATGAGAATATTCAGTATCTCAGAAATGTTTTTTTGTTAAATTAAAAAGACCATGGTGTGTAACTGTAGCTTCATTCGTAAAAAATATTCCATCGACGAAGGAATGGTCAAGATTTTACCTGTTTCGGACATCTTTTACAAATCTGCATCTTCAAGGTAAATCTGCTGACAATCGATTTTGTACACGTGTAAAATGGTAAGGATGAAAATGCTTACGGAGGATTTTCAAAACTGAAGTTTTGCTGATTCCTAACGTTGATAAGATAAACGTACTTGAGAATCATCGTCAACGTGAACCATTACTTATAGGCTAGGCTAGGGGCACACACATCGAATTTGGATGTCCCTAGCCTAGCGCGCACACTACACGATATTTATTCGATGATGTTTTTTAATCCGACGAGCGACGTACCTTGAGCAGTGTCAAAAAACGCAACTGGTCCTTTGGTCGGTCGATAAGTGTGTGCGCGCGTTCATTTGATACTATACGCCTTGGAACGACGGCAACGACCACGGCCGCCGTCCATGGAGTGACATTCATCGATCGCCACACGACATCGATGCCGTGCCGTTTGGCGATCGATGTGTGTGCCCGCTCACATTTGTTTCTTCGCGCCACCAAAGGAATTTGTTCGATCGAACTTTTATCGACCGACGAAATTCGATGTGTGTGCGCCTAGCCTTAATCTTTCTGATCAGGCGTAATGATTTTCGGTCGGCCTAGGTTGTCACTTTTAGGACGAAATGAACCACTTTCCAATGCCACAATTCTTCTAAGTTATTCACTTTCTCCTTCTTCTTCTTCTAGTTCCATGACCATTATCGATCGTTGGATATCACGTTGGCTACCATATTCGCTATCCTGACTTTATTGACAGCAGCTCTAAATAACGATGTAGTTGATTTTCCATACCATTGCCTTAGATTTTTCAGCCATGATGTTCTTCGTGTACCAGGACCACGATTACCTTGGATCTTTCCCTGAATGATCAGATGTAAAAGATCATATTTTTCAGGATGTCACATTATGTGACCGAAGTATTCCAGATTGCGTTTCTTTATTATATTGACCAGTTGTGTTGTTTGGTTCAGCCGTCTAAGGACCTCCTCATTTCTAACTCTTTAGACCCAGCTTATTTTCAGTAGTCATCTGTATACCCACATCTCAAAGGCTGTCAAGCGTTTAAAGATAGCCTCGGTTAGAGTCCACGCTTCCACTCCATACAGCAGGACAGGAAAGATGTAGCAAGATGTCATTCTAACTCTAAGGCCAATGCTAAGATCGTCACTACAAAGTACGTTTCTCATTTTTACAAATGCACCTCCGGCTTGTTCTATTCGGCTTTTAATTTCTGAGGTTGGATTCCAGCTCTCATTGATATTGATACACTTTCTCCTACTCCTAGTTAATGAGAACAGTTTGTCAGACATTCATTCTGAGTAAAATATTTGTCTTTGAGTTTTTTTTTTGTTTTATTTATTAGTCAGATATGTAGAACGTTTTTATTTTGAACGAATGATTTTTGCTGAACCTTAAGTAGGTTTTTGCTTTGAAACCTTGTTTTCCTGAAAAACGAATGGGGAGTAATAAGAACTCGGTTCACGATTGGCAACACCGTTTCAACCAGATACTCTTTTTAAAACATTTTGTACAGAGGTTAATTTTATTAATTTAATACATTACAATAATGAATTCAAATTATTATGTTGTTGGAACACTTCATTCTAACATTTATCATTATGATACGTTATACTGTTAATCACTACACTTATCGGTAGCTTATGCTACGATGTTTGATCATATATAGTTTATGTACGTTTACACATTGTTAAAATCATGATTCACCAACAATAATGTCTAGTTACAATTGGAACTATTTGTTGACTCTTTGACATAATTTTCATGCACAGGAAGTGCCAACACTAAAAACATTCAATATAGAATTGTAATATTACTTTTGCTAAAAATTAATTAAAAATATCCACTCCTTTTTTTTAGGAAAGGTAATTGTGACAGCCTTACCCCAAATCGAAACAGCAAACTTGACGACGGACGACTTGGAGGACCTGATGGAAAGAACGAGAGCTTTAATGCAATCTGCCTTCAACGAAGCCACCAAAGAAGTGACCGACGGATACATTCCCAACTCTAGTCAGAAAGTGAAAGTAACATGAAATTTGCCCGATTGTCTCGAGCCTAAAGGTATAGGTAGCTAGTTTTTACGTTTTTTCGGAAAACTTCAGCACTTTTTTAGTTTAGTGATCAGGATTTGTATGTATGTGATATTTGGGACGGTTTCGAGTATATTTTTACGACAAAACTATTTTTAGGTGCATCGACGTTTTAAAAATCTTGACCGGATGCCTTTTATGTGATTTTTTACACTAGATTTATGATTGTAGATTGTTTAAACTAAATCCAAACACACGAAAAATAGTTGTTAGTTCCACCAATCACAATATCCGCTTGTATCAACAATTTAAAACAATCTAAACATCACAAATGAGCAGATTGCTTTAAAAGTACGATTAATTTTATATAAAGAAAAATACAAACAATATTTCTGTGAGAATAGGCTTCGAACATGCGCAGACAAGGCCTAATAGAATTTAAGATCATTTTTTTTTAACAATCGAAGACGTATGATGGTTGATCATAGACAATACGTAGCTATCATAGTTTACGAATAAAGTGTTTCTGTATCTGTTGGAATGTTGGCTGCACTAATTCATGGACCAACAAACATATCGCGCAAGCACACAGTGACCAAAGAACTATACTCAAATACTTCACTAAAATATTTGCACAATAATAATAGAAAAGTTTTTAGGATTTCTAGTGAATTTTTTTACAAAATATTATGTGAATGACACAATTAATTTATTGCATACCTTTCATACATAAAATGTCGATCATATTCTGTTGAAATAATGTCTCGATTTAATATTGGTAGAACTAATGAACCATTCGAGTGATTTTATTTTATTTAGTAACTTTAAGAATAAACTTAGTTCTTTTTTATACTCAAAATTTGTAATTTTTGAAGACAAAAAATATTTCTGGGTATTATAAAAAATAAACAAAAAAATGTATAAAGGTGCCATTTTATAAGCAGATCTAGTCAATGTGTATTAATATTTTTATTCGATTTTATAATCTGGTTAAATACAGTAAAATGAATAGGAAAATGAGTACTTTCCTAAAGTTCGTTATTTCGATTCATTACAAACGCCATTCTAATATATTTCCCTTTCTGTCTTGCTATAAACTTGAAAATTTTCCTTTATTACTTTTACTGTATTATAATCTTTGTTAATTTGGCAACTGTGTTAATTTTGCTCTTTATTTTTTCTCTATGTCGATTTTAAATAATTTGTAGGGTTATATTGAATTTGTACTATGATGATAATATTATAAACGCAATATGGAACGCAATATTTGTTTTTTGTGTAAATGTATTATGTAATTTTCACTTTTTACTCTTCTGACATTAAAAATATTTATTTTGTAAAGAATAATAAATAAAGATGTTTATAGAAATTGTGTGTGAGTTTTATTTAGAAGAAGAAGGAGCAGATCAGGTCAAACCATAGACTTAAAATATAAATAGACTCTGCGTTTTATCAAGCAAAATGAAGGGATCCCTTAAACTGTTTTCTTCTGTCTCTATCTTTTTGTACGTGCCTCATTCTTGAATCGAGAGAAAATTTTACTCCCCACTAAGCTAACTCGCTTTTCTACTCCATCATAATTTCCAAATTTCCAAAAGGATAAGGAATGAGAGAAACTATAAACAGTGTTGCCGGGTTTTCAATGAAAATTTTAACCAATCACAAAAGTTAATTATTGACAGAGACAAGATACTGTCAACCGTCAACCTGATCACTCCCCTTAGTGGTGGGCCAACCTGCGATTTTTGTGTAGCTGTGACAAAATGTGACTGCTCCAGTATTGTCACGGTGACAAAAAGGAGTGATTTTTTGGAGCAGTTTAATCTTAACTGCTACTATTGCTACTTTTGAATATTCCAAAATATATTTTAAAATTTGTAAAAATTTTCTATCTGACAAAAGAAATGGGTCCGTTGGTTGGAGGATATCCCGGCCAATTTGAAGATCTTCAACTGCCTCCAAAACATCAATAAACATAATATAATTCCAGTAGAGCATATGATTGATATCCATCTTTTTTAACTTCCGCTTTTTAAAAAACAAAATACTTCCCTAGGTTTTTGAAAGGTTATGTATTGTTATTTTCGCTCCCATTTACAATTTCTCGTACCTACTATCAGTAGAAATTGTTATTCCCTTAAGGAGTGACATTTCTCTCATACATTAGGAGAGTTTTTTTCAAGAATACAGCATTTTAGGTTTTAGGGAGCCACGCCTACTTTTACGTCACTTTCTCTTGTAATTTCTACTCCCTGGAATTCAAGAATAAGGGCACAGAATATGCTACATGAGGTTCATGTGGTGGCACATAACTTCATCACTCCTTTCCGCTTAATTCTCAGATTTCTCCTGTGGTTTATGAAACCCTCAACCTAGGGAAAGAAGATAACCAAGCCAAGTTTGTGTCATGGTACCTTGATAACTGGTCTGTACATAAACTAATCTTCACAGATGAATCCAAAGATGAACAAGGTAATGTAGGCAGTGGTATATACCTTAATTTTACACCGAATTAACAGCAAAATTACCAGCTAATTCAATTTGTTCAGCAAAATTATTTACGGTAAAAAAAGGCATTAGATTTAATTCAACAGAATGATTTTGAAAAAAACCTTTTTGTAGTGATTCAAAAAGTGCTCTGGAGAAAATTACAAGACCAAGTTATAAGGCTGTAACAGACACAAGGTTGGCAATCGTCACTGCTATTCTACTTTTTGGCACTACAGCCTGAAAGAGTTCAGTTGAGCTGCATCCAAACCATTCTTTGAAGTTTCTCAGCCAGGACATTTTTCTTCTAGCTATGCTGCGCTTTCCTTGAATCTTTCCCTACATTATTAGTTTTAGGAATTCATATCTGTCACCACGTCTTATATGATACAGTTGAGACATTGTTTATTTATTTAAAGTCCATGTCTCCACACCAAACAAAAGTACAGAAAATACATAAACACTTTAGTACTCGTTTTCTAAAGATTTACTCTGAGGTCTCTACAATAGACCATTTGTTTCGTATTATTAATTACGCTTCTATCCTTTTCTATTCTAACTCTCATTTCTATGGTATAATGATGGATCATAATATGTATATTCCTTCATAGAATCTCAATATAAAAAGAGTTGCTTCACTCATCTTTGACTTTATTCACAATACATTAGCAGATGTGTGTTCTATCAGATGCAAGTGGAGGCCAAAATTAAAATCACTTTGTTACGGTTTTGTTCTTGGGTATAAAAACTATACAGTGTCGAAGTGTCACAAATTTTTCCTGTTTATGGACACTTCTTTAGTCAATGCGACAGAAATTTTGGGATTATAAGACATACCTTATAAAGTGTTCAAGATGTCGAGGAACCCAAAGTCTACCTAGAAAAATTCCTACAGTGCAGACAAACTCCTTCTCCTTTCTGCCTCAAACATGACTCCTCGATAACATATGACGGAGATGTAGCACTTCTTCCTTATTTTTTGAAGAAGTCTGTGAATAAATATAACGAATAGTATTGCGTGCTGAGTATAAATCTTGTGGGACACTGGCTGCTTCTAAAACCTACTTTGAAATATACACCCCTTTTAAATATGCAAAAACGTTGCCACTTGACCTTACTCTTACACCTTTGCCTCGGGTTTCTATGAATCAGTCGAAAATAAAAGACTTGAGAGACTTGTTTCGCTACTTAAGCGAAGAAAGTAGAAAGTTCTACAAAATTTTTATTTCAAGAAAGCACACCGACTGAAAAAGACAATGAAAGTAGTGCTAATGACCCAGATGGTGGAGAAATTTAGCATAAAATTATGTTAAACATAATGTAGTGTAAACAAAATAAAACTTTTCTTGTTGCACAAAGACCTTGATTATTATTTTAAACCTTTGTATACCATAATATATAACTATTGTATACTATACAACAGTATAATATTCATAAGAAAGTGATAAGGTTTATTCTGCTCATTTTCTAAGCGTATTATGGTGGGGGTAGAATAGATCGTAGGATCGTGACGTATGATACATCATTGGAAAGAAAAGGGGTAACGAATATGTTGAGACAAAAAAACACATTGCGGCATTGCCAAAAGGGCATTACATCATATTTCCTTTGTTATTGGAAACTGGAGATTAGGATATTACATCATTGACTGGAGGACATAGAGAAATAACAATAACTTATTTGTTATTTCTCTATGCTGGAGGACTTATACACTGAGTATCGCCAAATGTAGGCAACTTATGTTACGTACCATTGTCTGTTTCAATACTTTTTTTCAATTACTATGCAACGAAATATAAACTGCTCTAATAAAATAATGAGCAATAAAAATTACTAAAATGCAGGAAAAATATTTTTCTTTGATCCAGATATTAATGGGTCAAATATTTTGCCTAATTTAACCTATGTTAAACCGATCCAATAAAGTAAGTTATTCTTAGAACTTTATAAAAATTCAGGTATGTAGCAAGTTTTTAATAATATGTACATATAGAAAGAATACCTACGTGTTTCATGAAAAGAATTCGGTCTCGTTTTTTAGTTTTTAACAGTTAAGTGCGAAAAATGGATTCTTTTTCAATTTTTGACTTACCACTAAAAAGATAAGGTTTTAAATAAAATTCCATACATATTTTGTTTTAGAATTTTATTAAATAAATAAAATAAATATTAAAAATTCTACAAAATATCGTATTCTAAAAGTTGTAAAATTTATTTTTCTCTGAAAACTTCAAAATTACACAAAACCAATAATTTCTACATAGATACGTTCTAGACCAGAGAAACTTTCTACATATACATGAATTGTTGCTAAGTGTCATAAATGGGCTTTTTTACTTATTTTTCTGAACTAAAAAGTAATAAAAATATTTATTCAAATATACAAATTTTGCTACCATCTTTTAGCATATAGTTGAACTGAGTAAAAGACAGCTTTAGTGACAGAAATGATTTCTGTCTTATTTGACATTTAGTTTGAAACTGTAAATTCTGTCTTGTGGATTGTGGATTGCGGCGAGGCTGAACAGAGATGAAAATTTAGTGATAGTGACCAGTGGCCACACAAAAAATAACCGTACCCAACAACTGACCAAGCAGGGTAGAGCCAATTCTAAAATTTACAAAAAATGGTGTTTTAACCTTTTATTCGTGCCAGCGCAAAAGTTTAAAACAGTATGTGAAGTCGTCCAAAGCGAAATCCAGTGTCTATTGTTGTGATTTTTTTTCAATACTTTTTTCACTAGCCAGACAGAAATGGAAGGTGAACAATTTTCTTTATGTTGGAACAACTTCCACAATAACCTGAGTTCGGGTTTTCATTCTTTATTTAAAGATGAAGATTTGGTTGATGTGACTCTAGCTGCTGATGGAAAATTCTTAAAAGCGCACAAAACCGTTCTTTCGGTGTGTAGCCCCTTTTTCAAAGACTTATTCAGGGTAAATCCTTGTAAACATCCAATAGTTATACTGCCCGAGGTTAATTATAATGCTTTGAGCAGTCTGTTACATTTCATGTACCAGGGAGAGGTTAGTGTGAGTCAGGAAGAAATTCCTACATTCATGAGAGTAGCAGAAATGTTGAAAGTTAAAGGACTGACAGATAACAACTCATCCTCAACATCTTCTGTAAGTATAAGAATGTTTTAACACCAACAACCAATCTATTTTTAGTTAAATATTTAGAGAATACCCCTGCATCATTATTTTTGTGCATGTGATTCAAATTCAAAAGTCAAAACAATGTTTATCATTCATCATTGTTTAGAATTGATAGAAAAAGAGGGCAAGTACACAGAAAGAGGTGGCATTTGATTATAAATCATCAATGAGTGGATATTATCCTGAAAAGCTCAAATTGTAACTTAAATTGTTGGTTTAAGATATAAAAAAATAGCAATATTGCCCTAATTTTAAATCCAGAAAACTTATTTGATCAATATAACATATAAATCAAAGTCTGTGTGAGAAATCAATGAAATCTAAGATTTGTTTTGTGTATTTAATTAAATAAAAAAAAAAGTATCCAGCTTATCTAAAACATAGATATATTCTTATTGTATTTCAATCTGGACTTTGATATATTTCATAAAATTTTGTATGTTATTGCTTAAAAACCAGGAATGTCCCTATCAAAATTAGTTTATATCTTAAGAAAATCTATTAGAAAAAAAAATTACAGCAATTAACTGCAGTTCTCTAAGTTTGGAATGGTTCCAGGAACATTTTTCCTGCAATGACATGCACATTTTGATGTATGGTAAAAAATCTCAGAAATATTGATTTTAGAAGGGTATTGTAGATTTGTTTTTATAAGAAAATTGTTTTATATGACACATCTCTGCCCCTATCACAGTTTGTTACTACTTAACACAAAATTTATAACTAGATAAAGGAAATTTTGATTCTGCAATGTCCCTTTTTTGTATTTAAACAAGAATAATTATTTTCTTGATATTCTTCAAAATTATTCACAAAACTATGTTTCATATAATGTTATTTATATTTGTAGGAAACAAATGGTTATACTAGTAGTAGTAGAAGCAATTTTGCTTACCAAGACCAAAGGCAGAATATTATGAAGAGACCTAGACCTGTGAAAAAGATTATAAGACCTATGCAACAACTTAGACCTATAGAAAGCCCTAAATTATCTAAATCTCCATCACCACATCCAGCTCAGCCAACCCAGGTAAGAAAATACTACTCATTTTTAGTTTACTATGTAGAAACTTGAAAAATACTTGTTTTGTTGAATTTCGCTGAGCTGAGTACTATTGTAATTCATACATGTACTTTTCAGTCTCATCATTCACCAGTGCAGACACCTCCCATTAAAAAACAACTTCTAGAAAATGACCTGCCTCAGTCCTCAATAACACCTATAATTCCCAATATTATTCCCAAGTTAGAAGAGTATCAGGAACCTTTAATCAAACCGAAACTCGAGCCTATCGATCATCAGGATGAAGAGAATACCTCCCATTCAGGTAAAAACAACTATAATTAAAGAAGCAGGTGTTAGGAGGGATAAAGTGACATTAGCTTTGAAATATTTGGCATAACTATACTTATCATGAATTGAATAACACAATATTCCAAAAATGTCATATTTTCTGAACATCTGCTCATTTAACTTGATATTTTTGTTTTTTTTTTTATCCTATCTCTCTAGTTAAACAAAAATAGAGATTTTGTGTGTCTTTTAGGAGAAGACCCCAATATGGATATAGCTAGTCTTGCAGAAAATCTGCAAGAAGAACCTTCTGCTTCTCCATTCTCGTCATGGCCTCCTTTTGATATGCCCCCTCCAAATCAGGACTCATCTTCACCGGGTAAGTTAACAGTTATTAGTAGTTATGCACATTTTAGATATATATAGTCGCAGATTATTTTGGATATACTTTGGCTTATAGGTAGAGGGTCGTTATATTGAATTGACAGTATTGGCATCATATCAGCTAGTTTGCTAGTAGTTGTAAACCATAGATAGATTATTTGCAATACAAATGTCCTTAGTTTACATCATATTTATTTGTTTTTGTCAATTGTATTTGAAATTCCGAATTTCTCGGGATGATTGTAAAATGCTTGAATTTGGACTGACTATGATGCATTGCCATGCACACTATTTGTTGTACATCTATTATATTGTGATTGCATGAATTTAAATTAAGTTCATCCAGCGTAAGATGTCAATGAAATACCATTTATGTTATTATCTTAATTCAAACATGAAGAGAAATTTCTCACCCAAAAGAAAACATGTAGATAAATCACAGCCAACTTCAGAAAATACTGTTTTGTCAAAATTTCGGTTGTAATTCATAAAATATGAAATAGACTCAATCATTTTACACATTTTTCTAGTTTTATTCAATAGATTTTCTTTTTATATATTTGGAATTATTCTGACACACAACACATCACTTGCTTCATTCCATTTCATCCATCCCTCCCTAACTCTATTATATGTATCTTCATCTATTTCCCCATTACTCTGTAATGTCAATCCTAGCTACTTAAAATGATCTTGCCACTGTTTGTATTGCCATTATCATGCTATTGAAAGAAGGAAAAACCCAGACTTTATAATTTGATATAAGTCAAACTGGCAACAGGTGTATGTTGTCAAATAACTGACACACAGTCTTTTTCCAATTTATACTTAAAGACAGACAGCACATTTTAAATGACTGTTAATATATTTTGATTATACTGCCATGACTAAACCCATAAGTGCAGTGTCAATTGAAAAATGTTTCATATTTTTATATTTAATGGTAATAACTAAGGACATTATGTAATACTTCATATTAGGTGTCTGTGGTGGAACTTTTTATTATTTTTAGCTATATTTTTATACTAAGAGTATGAAATTTATAAAATTTACTGAAATAGTGTAGTTTGCTACTCTTTTCTGATACATAACTCCTGTAATAGATAGAATCAAATGTTTCTTTATTATAGTTTATTTCATGTACATTTTTCAGTCATCATTAAAATAATACACAATTAACTTACTATATCTATGGCATTAAGTATTTGTTTGGTGAAGAATTTGATGAAAAATCACAAAAATATTCGTAAACTAAAATTACAGTCAATCTGCCACCAAATGTAGTTAGTAGAATATTAAATGGTTTGTATGTACACGATATTTATACCTTGCAGTACTTTCATATAACCCGTCTGTTTTTATCTTTAAAAGTTTCCTATCTACATTTCTAACACAGGTTGTGTTTTGGTATTTCTTTATTGCTTCAAAACTGTTGTGTAATAGTTTCTTGAAAAATAAATAGATGATTCTTGATTAAATTACCCTCTTTATTATGTAATCCAGGGAAACAGTTGAATCTATTTTCTTTTGTCTAAAATAGATGGTAATAATCCAACTAAACTAAGACTAAACATTTTCTTTAACAACAAAACCTGATACCGATTTCCCAACCTGTTCATCTCATGGCATCTATTAATCTGTTGTTCTATTTGTTTATGAGCAATAAATGAATCTAACCTCAAAAATCTTTTTGCGTGACGTTTCGTAAGTAAAAAGAAAACCCTTTAAGACACTTTAACTCTGACAGTTTTATATTACAAAAGCGACAAATATACGTCAATAAACACTGAATTTTTGACGTATATTCAAAGATTATTGACGCATTAGTCAAATTCAAATATAGAGGTGGAAAATTGTAAGGAACACTTCTAACAGTAAAATTCCAAAAAATAGTAGATTTATTAAAAATATCACATTCACTGTCGTCATCATTGGAATCATTAAAAAAATTTTTAGTTCTTCAGTGGTTCTTCTAGGCATCTACCTCTCATTTCCCGATTATACCTTATCTTCAATTGGGTTGAACGGGCAACTAAAATGGCCCACATCTTGTTCTTTCGGTATGAGGCCCCACGTTGGGCGCCATATCCCTGCAGCATGTACTGGACATTCAATAATGATCCACATTTTAAGACATTGGGGTGTATTCTTGCCACTTACATCTCAGTGTGTAGCAATTGTAAATGGCAAGTAAGGAAAATCAGAATTTGTGTACAAGTGTGATATGGAGATGCACTGTCACAAGTATCCCAATGATGTATACTCGATGCGACGCACTAGCTGTTAAGTCATCGATTCGACTATCCTCGTTAGTCGCTCTCAGTGGCGCCGTTTCTCCGAATCTTTGTGGGATGTTTACTTTTAATAACTATCAGCAGGGAGGATTCAATTATTTCCTATATTTAAATAATGAAAAAAAAAACATTCTGAGTGGCGATAAACTATTTCTTGGCTCACTCGATTTTAATATCACTTCAATTTGCTGTTTTTTTTTCGTGCCTCGTTAAATACTTTATCTAAATATAAAATATGCATTACAAAGCTAGGCACAGAGGAGCTTTTTATTACAAAAAATAATTAAATCGTTATCATTTTATGAAAAATGCCTAGTTATGAACAAAAATAAGTTGTTTAGTTCATGATCTGCTTATTAGTATAATTTTAATGCATGCCTGAATGCCATATATAGTAAAGCGTTTATACACAAAACCACATGCTTTTTTTAGCGTTATTTTTCTTTTAGAATGTTTATTATGTTATCTCATTTCTTGCCGTATTCATTTTTTTTATTGTTAAGTATAATTTAAGTATGTTTCGTTTTCTTGAAGTTAAAACCAAGAAATAAACTGAAAATATGTGAACGGAAAAGCCTTTCGAAACTTTAAAAATTTTATTTAAGGTATTTAAATGTTAAACACAACACATTCTCTACAAGCAGAATAATGATGTGATCGAATAGGAGAATAAAAATCAGAGCAGAAATAAACAAATTCTGAACAGAAATATGAATCTTAAAACTCTTAAATGTTTTGAACATGTAAACAAGGGATCATGACCTCGAAGAATATTACAATAAAGTTTTCGCAACCGTACAAAGAAAGTTAAAAGAGGCAGTAATATATGATAAAGGAACAAAACTAAAATGAAAGTGAGGTAGCGAGACGAATTATCTACAAAATTCTGAACATTTTACTAGGTCGTAGATTAGTAGTGAGAGGAGATTTCAACCGGACAATTGATGACACGTAAAAGACACGCCCACGATGACGTCAGCAACTCACATACTGCACAACGCAATGGTATCGTATCAAAGCCATCTGAGAAAAAACAAAAATGGTTTCTGCTACAGTTACACACTCTTGAACGTTACTGGTCAATGGAAAGAATTACATCTAAAAATAAAAGTAAATTCATTTATTATGTTATTAATTAGGTTAGGAGCGCCCAACGTTGACGCAAAAGGCACGGCCACAATGACGCCACCAACGTCCATAGTAGGAAATGAGTTGTATGGCAACTCCTAACTGAAAAAAACAAAAATTATGGTGGCTACAGTGACACGCCCACGTACGTCACTGGTCAATGAAAGGAATCACATCTACAAATAAAAATCAATTCGTTTATCATGTTTGTTGAAATGGTTCACATCTAGGATTTAATTTAGTATTTTTTCAAGCAAGATTGTGTAAAATTAATTCCTACCTTTGATCGTTTGAATCGGTCAATTCTTTCCATTGGCCAGTGACGTCTGGAGGGTATGTTTGCAGTGGCCACCATCTTGGTTTTTTTCATGGGGCGTTGTAATGCGCCATTGTATTGCGCAGTGTGTGACTATGTCGCAACGGCTGCCACTGACGTCATCAAAAACCAGAACGTATTCTCACTACTTTCTTTCAGATAATATAGATAATTTAAAAATGTAAAAAAGTTATTTGAACTACTTTCATGAAGTATGTAAATAGAAAAAGTTAGTTTTTCAATCGGTAATAAAAAAATTAATAGCATCCATGTTACGCAGCACTATGTTCAAGAAAATGTCACATGGTATAAATTTCCGAACGTGGCATTTGACAGCTAATAATCGACTAACACAAACATTGTAAACATGACATTTGGCAGTTCATAGACGAATAAAACATGCGCAAAATGTTGTTTTATTGTGTTGATATCTTAAATCAAAATTTTGACCATGGTTTTATGTGTAATGTCTATCGATTTTGAAGAAATTCACAGTTTGATTCTGCACGTTAACATGCACACGTAGAAAAGTTGGCTATCACTTGTATTATGAGCATTTTTGTCTAGAAGTTAGATTTGAGTACAAATTTTAGAGTATTTTTAGTTTAAAAACAGTATTTCGACTATTTGACAATGTATTTATCTTAAATAAACGATTTTAACACTCCGTTTAGGTTAATTAAAGTGTTACGACAGTTCTCTTGATCTAAACGTCGGCACGTTCATGGAGCTAAACCTAAGTTGTCTATAATGTTTAGCTTTTTTTCGTTTCAATTTCTCAGGCGTTGTTCAGTAGCTATTCATCCTATAAAATTTGTTTCTCAACATATGGTTCTTCGTTCATAGTTCTCATTTGTTAGTTTTCATGTACAAGATGTTATCTTTGGTTCAATTGCGTTTTGCAGTCTCAACATTTTGTCGTTTTCTGCATTATGAATTTGATCCGACTCCACTGGTCTTTGGTATTGTTTTTCTTTCGTTTCTTTTTAATTACTCTTCTAACTTCTGTATAAGTTCTTGGCTATTATTTTGAACACATGAGTCAGTTATAGTCCTTTTTTAGTGTTTTATTGTTTTAAGTGTAACTTTTATGTCAGTGACATATATTTTAGTTATCTTGATTGAGTCTTGGTATATTTCATAAATTTTTATTTATTCGATCTGGTATTTTATGATCTTATCACTAGTATCTGCTGGTCCCAATCTTTACGCTACATTAAATAGTATCCGAGTGAAACTGATATTTAAGCATTCTTA